CGAGTAATATGCGGCCGAGAGGGACGATATGCTGCCGGCGGGAGTTTTTGCCGCGGAGAGAAGGATTCGCGCTCTCTCGACAGCATATCGTCCCTCACGGCGGCATATTACTCGCGTCGCTCACAGAAAAAAACGCTGACGCCCAAGAAGACTGCGAAGGAGACTAGTTATCTCTCTATCTGGCCCATTTCTACTCTTTCCAGCCGTCTCCCCAAGCCTGGTAGAGGCTATGACAGGGGATTAACGAACACAACATCCCCATGCAGACCCCTAGCTTTTCTCCTTTGGTTAATTTTCACCCCTTGTTCAGCTGCTGGCACTTGTGTCAGTGCTTGGGGTGTAAAAAATTAGTTATTTGACATATATTATATACCAAGGGTCAACTTAGTGTCAGTAGTTATTTACTGGACTTGTAGCAGTTAGTTGGTGTGGTCTGAACATCTTTGCAAACCAGTTATACATTACTTTTATTATACTACAAATATATTGTAAGCCTCCGAAACACACCTTGTGATTCCTACACTGTTCTAACTGCATATGTTTGTCAATAGTTGAACACTATGATGACTTTTTGTATGGACTTTCAACTGAGCATAAATTATGTTAATGAGGCTGAACCAGCAAGCATTGTGGTAGTTCTATGGGGTACCTTTACCTTTTGTAAGTACATAATTATATTGCAATACTTTTTTGTGCAATATATTTCTATTTTGTAGTATGAAGTAGTTTAAAGTTATTGCTGTCAATTTTAGTTGTCAGCTCATACCCTCATTTCACTTCACAGTTTTGCATATATTGGTACATATTAGACACTAGGCATGATATGGTCTTCCCTATGTAACCTTAAACTATTATTAGCCCATTTTTCAATTCAAATCAGTGTTTTTCAAAATCACTAAATATTTTAACCCAGTAGCTTTTCTCCTTTGGTTATTTTTCACCCCTTTTAGCTGCTGGCACTTTGTGCAGTGCTTGGGGGTGTATGAAAATTGTTTACATAATTTCCAAAAGAGCTATAGTGGTATCACAACATCGTCAAGTGAGCAGTAGGTATTTAATGCACTTGTAGCAGTTAGTGAATGTGGCCTGAACATCTTTGCAAACTAGTTATACATTATTTATGTAATATTATAGATATGCTATAACCGTCCAAAACACACCTTGTGATTTCTATATTGTTACCTCCGGGTAGGGATGTATATCCCGAGCGCGGAGGTTTTGTGAGGGAAGACGAAAATTGCGTTCGCACCCGTTTCTCGCGTTTGGGTGGACGGATATGTCTGGGACTTGGTATACGTTTTGCTGTTGGGCTGTAGATGGTGCACGTTGTTTTGGTTTTTTAGTATGTGTGTTTTAGTGCGTGAAAATGATGCGTTTAGACCGCCGATGGACACCCCTTTCAGTGTGAAAGTGGACCTCAGCTTTTGACCTTTGCATGTATAAGGACGATTGAGGTCGCGACCACTGATCTGACCTTTCACACAGAGGGGTGTCAGCATTGTCGATAAATTCTTTCTTTGAAACTGTTCAGATGTGAACCACATGTGCCGTCAATCAACGTCTCATTATCGTGCCTGGTGGGACCCGCTGGGGGGATACTTTAGTACGCGTTCACAGGACACGTAATCGGCACTTCCTGGTTAGCCAATGGGTCAGGGGTCAACGTACTGTTGCGCAACCTTTGTGTTGGTTGTTTTCGGCGTATATTACGACTTCTAAAATATTACGACTAACTTACAAATACCGCGGATTCAGACCTTTACTTCCCCAATTTATACGAAGAATCGGCGGAAAATGGAGGAAGTGACAATAAGGATGACTTGCACATGCGGGGAGGTACTTCAGCAGTTATTTTTAACGTCTGATTCCATTTAACGGCTCCGGTTGTCATTCTGAGTTTCATTACGAGTTCCTTGTGGCATAAGTTCGTGGCGGCCCGTTCGTGGGTACATGTTATAGGCTGCAGATGAAAATACTGACCTGTGTTAACACAACCAGGAAGGCTAAATCTAACACATAAAATTCAACACCATCAACTACATGTATATAACAAACAACATATAAAAGTATACAATAAAAAGCTCAGATTTTACTATTCGCACGCGCGCATCAGTTTTGGGGTTCCCAGAGGATGTCATCCATATAATCAAATCAACATGGCCTTACTTACATGTTAGAAGGGTAACACGCACCGGACGATTGGCGGCTGGCGCCCGGAGCGGGTGTTTGTTTACATTATCGCTGGTCGCTGAGGGTCGGGCAGCCAGATTCGCCACGGGATGCCCCCTGTCCTTTCTATTTTTGGGCTCCAGTCGGCTAGGGGGATTAGTGATTTCACAGATCATTTAGCCAATTTTCGAAAAAAATGGTATTCGCGCGAATTCACTAATTTAAAGAACAGTCCCAACATGCACCCAACATTCTGCAACACACATTTCAATACCCGGAGGTACAAAATCTACGATTTTCCTTGTTCTAACTGCTTACATTTGTCAATAGTTGTATAACATAATGTGTTTTTGTGTGGATCTTAAATTAAGCATAAATTATGTTAATGAGGCTGAACTAGTAACCTTTTTAGCAGGGGTGTGAAAGTATGGGACTACCCTTACCTTTTAACAGTTGGAAGTAGGTACATTCCAACACTCGTTGTGTTTCTTCTTTGCTGTTGGGCTTACAAAAGTTGTTTCTGTATTTTGGGGTAGTACTTGTATACAGTTTGGTGTGTTTTGACTGATTTTGTTACTTATCCACCCATGTGCAGCTTAAATAGCGCCAATCACGGGTGTTCAAAAATTAGTTCTTGTTTTTCTTGGTAATGTTTAACCTATAAGAATGGTAATCTTACTGCAAGAATGCTGACCAACATGCACCGATACATTTGGATAGTGTGTACCCACTGCTAGACTTTGTGGTTAGGATCTTTTGATAAACTTTAGTTCTAAAAGCTGTGGTGTATCTCAGATGAATGACATTGTAGTAAGAGATTTATCATTCAATCTTATTAGGTTTATATGCCAAAAAGTCTCTTTTTTTCAGCCCAAAAAAATGTAGTTTTCAATGCATTTTGATAGTGGCATAAATTATGTTAATGAGGTTTCTGCTATGCTTCCTGGGTAAAGAGATTGAAATTTGATCTGGGTGATCTTTTTCAAATGCAGGATACCATTTTATGGTTTTTAAGTAATAGCACACAAAGACTATGTACCTTTGTTACACATTTTATTCTTTCCTTGCTTTCTTACTGATGAGAAATAGATATATGTAAGCACCATACTCCTAAAGCCCCCATAATAGTACTTCAGGATCACAAGGTTTTGGGTTCAAATCCCACCAATCACGCTCTTCTTTTCAATTTTATTATCACCCCACACACCTACTTAAAGAATGCAGGGGTGCCCAAAAATAGGATAAGTAAGTAAGTAAGTAATGAGGATTTAAGGTGCATGGTCAGACTACTACACAAAAATGACTTACATGTTTGTGGTTGTGACATCCTTTTTAACTAGTTATGATGATATGTTTTGGATATTCCAACATTCATACAATGGAAGATATTCTTTCTACTCTATACATTGCTGTATATTTCTTTTCTTTGGTCAGGGAAGCCTCAAAATGTGATTTTACACCGATTTTTCCTGGGGTGCATAAATTATGTTAATGAGGCGGAGACAGCGAACATTCTGGAAATGCTTGGTATGCTCAATGTGTGGCTCTCCTCAACCATGTGACCTCTCCAGCTTTCTACCCCATCCAAGAGGATGCCCCTAACTGAAGCTATGTGCTTTTGTACTCATCCCCACCTGAAACAAAAGAGGAAATATTTGTATGAAAGGCCTTTCCCATAGCACAACAAAAGGGATTCAAACTCAGGACCTTTAGACCCCGTTGTAAATTAAGGCCATTGCTTTTTGTTTGCTGCCACCCGTTCAGCTGCTAGCACATTGTGCAGTGCTTACAAGGGTCCCCAAAAATCATGAGAGTAACAACAATGGGTCTGAATTACGCCTCTATGTACACGTTGATCTAAGTTCTTGTGGGTTTACTATCTTTGCAATACATTTGCAAGTTGTGTTATAATGCCTGGCTAAATTTTACCATGCAGAAAGAAACTTTTTGACAGTGGTAATAGTTCAACTGCTAACAGGTTTGAACATTGGAAGCCTGAAGTAGGTTTTCAAAGGGATCTTGAAAATGTGCATAAATTATGTTAATGAGCGTTTTACCTGGCTCTTTACATAGGGTGGTTCAGGTAGCAGGTATAGCCTTTCCAGGGGGTATATCTTTCTATACCCCCTGGAAAGTTACCACAGTTACAGTTACCATGTCAGTTACCATGGTGACAGACGTCTGGTCCATGTCATTGACCTTATTTGTTTCCAGGAGAAGAAACAAAATGAGCGAACACGATATGTTTTTCTTCTGTGAAGGCAAACATAAAAATGTACTTCCTTGCATTGTTATTACCCCCTCAAGCCACTGACACATTGTGCACTAATGTGCAGGGCTTATTGGGGGGTTCCAGAAATTATGAAGTAAGTTACTCACTTAGTCAAAAGTCAAAGTAACACAACGCAATGTCATGTCATTACCAGATTGTGACTACAACTAAAAGATTTTGAAATACAAACTATTCGTGGTTGAACACTGATTAAAAAATAATTTTAGATGGATTATTTTGTTTTAAAGAACATTAAGCATCAGTTAAAAACAGAAACTATGTTACATTGTTGTATCTTAAGCAAACTTAGTTTAAAACAGCTGAATTTAAGTATAAATTTTCATGGACATGTAAAAGTGGATAAATTATGTTAATGAGGTCAGCCCAATGGCTTAACTCAAGATAGGGGTGTTTTTTAATATACATGATAATTTAGGAAGAAATGAAAATGCATACTAATTCATATATCACGTATCAACTACTTGTATACTTGTTTAACCAAACAGATGACTAAAATGTTTCTTTGTTTGTTTGTTTGTTTGTTTGTTTGTTTCTGTAGGATCATGTCGTCCTGGGTCCTGCCTCCATCGATCAGTTCATTTCGGGTGAGAAACCTTTTTTAAGAAAACTCTTTTGTCTTGTCCCTCCTTGGGAAGATGCCCTGATGTTTTAAGTTCTTAATCCCTAAATTTTCCTTGTCTTACATTTTCTTGGCGTTTCTGAAAAACAAGAGAAGTAATGTAATTTGATCGCTTTAGTTTAATTATTACATCAGTTTTATCATATCATCTTTCATGAAAAATGTTCAACACACAAGATGATAATCAGAAGAATCCAAAAAACATGTTCAATCATATTGTCACAGAAGTACAATTTCTTTTGTCTTATTAGTAAATTGTCTTATTAGACTTTAGCCTCCATAGCACGCCAAAAACTGGGGGTTTTGGGGTCTTCAGGGTCTTTGGGAGCTTTTATGTGCTTATAATTTTCTGATTGCATGTAGACAACATAGCCGGCCTGGTTTAGAATTACCCTCGTTTTTGAGAACTGGGCTAATCAGAAAACAGTCGCAGACCACCAAACCCCCAGTTCTATGAGCCTGCTACGGAGGTTAGTCAGACTTGGAAACTTCTTCTTACCCCTTATTACGAAAGAAATTCAATATTTCCTTCCTTATATGGAAACATTTCCATGCCAGGAAACACGTTTTTCGTCCTTATTAGGAAACAACTTCACGGACTGGTTCACTACACATGTGCAGAGGGTGGTGCAGGGTGACTACCCCATCATACAGGAGAGAATATACAAGTGAGTCGCATCTGCACACCCCTTACGCAGAATGGACTGATCCATATGGTTTCTACCCAATCCTTGGAGAGAGCACAGCTCTGAGAAGGCAGCAAAACGTAAAAGTTGGTCCGGAGAAAGCAGCATAATGTAAACTTTAACATACAGAGAAAAAGCTGCCTCTTCTACTGTAAAGTTAAGGCCACTGTGTGTGACTTCGAGAGATTTCTGAAAGATTTCAAACATTGCTGTAAAATGTAGATACAGTTCGCTGTAATCACGCATATGTGTATATATCTAAATATTGTACGTTTGGGAATGCATCTATAGCAGCGACACCTGTGCTGCAGTGCAATGTGAACCAGTCAGAATTGCCCTGAGGAAGGTGACAGACAGTCACCGAAACGTCGTCTGAATAAAACACTTGGTTGTGTAAAAAGAGTCTCTTTACTCAGCGTCTTACCAACCTGATGAAACTGTTCACGAATTTGCCAAAAAACAGTTACTCAAGCAGCTGGATATGATTTTGGTAGTATCCACTAGCTTTTGTCGAGACACTGACTTAGGTACCTGAAACATCAGACCATTTCCAAAATCATCTCCAGTTGCTTGAGTAACTGCTTTTTGGCGTATCTTATTACCTGGATGTCTAACCTTCATCGACGCATTCACATATTTGTTGTCCGCTGTTTACAGGTACCTGAGGGACCCAGACTGCATTGCTGTCACCAATAACGTCACGGTAACCGTAGGAACGTCGTTCTGTCCAGAACTCAGCACAGTCAACCCTCCACACTACTTCTTCACCTACAGAATAAGGTCAGGGGTCAAGGACACTCCTGGTTAATTCTTAAAACCCTTGTCTGGTGGAGCACATACAGTACGATCTATATAGCAGCTGTATAATTATGTACAATTTGGGGGTATTTCTCATGCAATGCACAACACAGCAGCGAAATGCAATGAATGCAGAAGAAACAATGCCACCACAGGGCAAAAAAAAGGTCTGTGACCTAGTAAAGAAATGTAAAAAAATGCTAGCAGGACAAGGGTTAAATCTAGAAAGCTCATCTGTGTTGGTAGAAGTCATAATGTATTTGAACAGTAATTTCCAACACAAGAAATTGAGCTTACTGAAATAAGTGAAAAGTTTATTTATGAGTCTTGAATAGATGTTTTCTGGAGTTTTTAAATGTTTGCTTCTGTTTATCAATGATTCTTGTTTCCATCTCTCCCCCAGGATGTCCATGGACAAGAGTGTTTCACCTGAAGGTAAAGTTGTCCTCTGTATATAGAGTTCCTGTATATTCAGCCAATGTTTCAGCATTTTTCACACACACATAGTCAGCTACGATGTTGACCTATGAATCATTACAAATATGGTATCATAATGCTTTCCAATAATGATATTAATAATACTACATACTTGACAAAGTACTGTTGCAACAGAATCTGATAATGTATTTGTGTGTTTGTTTGTTCCGTACAGAAGCGTGTCAGTTGGACAGACGGTACTGGCTTATCACCAACGCTGATGGGTGGGTGGACCAGGTGGAGGGTCCTGGTGTCGTAGGTACGTTTGTTTGTTTGTTTGTTTGTTTGTTAGAATTGCTGCTCAGATTCTCATCATTGTCATGTCCTAATATCTGTATCCTAAAAATGATTCATGTACACCTTATGCATTTTCTGAGGTAAACAAACAAGTTGTTATGTTTTTCGTTTTCTTTAGTTTTTTTTTTTTTCAAATGGACAACCATGTCCGTGACACACAGTACAGATTTCACATGGCTTAAAAAAGCAAACAATGCCTTAGACCTTTCCGAACTTCTCTGTGTTCAAACAATGCAATTGACAAGCTTGACCACAGGTCCGAAGTTGTTTTCAAAAACAGTTTTAATTGGCAAGTTCACCACCTGACATTCCAAGCATCAATGTTCAAGTAAAACTTGACAAAGACAAAAATGAAACATTTCTGGCATTTCTCCAGCTGTACTCTAAACTGTCACTCACCAAAACCCTTAGTGAGGGCCTGCATGGGGGGATAGTGATTACGAATTATGCAAAATTTTCGCTGCAAATTACCAATTACGTTAAAGTCTCAGTGCTGACTTTACGATTTGTGGCTAATGTGCTATTACGAATTACGTAGATTCTTGGGGAGGCTGCCAATGGATTATGAAGACTAAAAAGGCCTGATATACGCCTTACGAAAAAGGGCATGCAGGCCCCTCTAAACTGTCACTCACCAAAACCCTTAGTCAGTAGGAAGGAGACCTTGTTTATAACAAAGTACGCTCATTGTGTTTCTGTAAGAATGCCGCGCATACTTGAGTGGGAAGGTCCTGACACCTGCATACTTCATAAAGGCAAACAATACAAACAGGAACATATGTGCCATAGCTGGGGGGGTTTCAAAACCACTGGAGCTTTGTGGGCAGTATCAATGTAAACTATTGTTTTTTCTCTTAAGTTAAATATTTCTATAAATACAGTCTAAAAACTAAGGTGTACAGATTGGAAACCACTGAAGCTTTGTAGGCAGTTTCAATGTAAAACATTGTTTTTCCCCTTAATTCTATTACTTTAAAGACAGTCTAAAAACCAAGGACCTTGCTGACTGAAAACTAAAGACCTCGCTGAAGCTTTGTAGGCAGTATCAATGTAAAGTATTGTTTTTCCCTTAAAATCTATTTCCATGAAAAAAGAGTCCAAAAATTAGGTGTACAGATTTAATGTTGAATGAAGACATTTATTGCACAAGTTTGCCACACAGCTTTTATATATGATATGAACCACAGATTACAACAAAATTTGTACAAAGTTGACTAATACAATGTACATTGTATAACTACGATTGTATAACTGCTAATTAGTATAATGACAATGACATATGTTTATTGCCCCCACAAAACATATGAGTTTATGGTACTTTATACACCAGGTGATAGGGAATTCGACTCCCTGAGTGTTTTGTTTTTCGTAATAATTTGTTCGTTTGTTTGTTTGTTTAGGTGAGTTTCCGATCATCCGACCAGGCACGACCTACGAGTGGACAAGCTGCACCACCTTCAACACACCCACAGGCACCATGAGGGGCTACTTCACCATGCACTACCTAAAAACAGGTGGGACAATCCAAACTCACGTTCAGGTAGATGGTGTAGATCGTACTATTTGGAAAATATAGGGGTGGTCGTTAGCAATAGGGGGACATTGACTGACAGTATGGCTTGGCAAGCTATGTATATTGGTATCTTTTTTACATCATTGTAGATTTGTCAAAAGGTTTAAAAAACAAATAAGCTCAATGACCTGAACCAGACGTCTGTCACCATGGTAACTGACTGATGTTGGGTTACAATTGCAATTTTATAGCAGGAGGGATTTAGACTCCTGTCACCATGTACACATGTACATGAATGTGTTTGAGTAAGAATTAACAGAGCAGACCTTATGCAAAGGTAAACATTATGCATTTGCTTGTTTTCTATAGTATTAGTTTTTAAGAGTTGTGTATAGATGTAACATGTACTAATACTTCCTGCTGTGCCATGCCCCCCCCCCAGGTCAGCCTCTGAAGGTGGAGTGTCCGATATACCACATGCGCGCCCTCCCCACCTGCTCAGCTGGAGACAGGAGGGTGAGTTCACTGCCCCCTGTATGTGTTTGTGTGTGTGTGTGTTAGTGTGTGTGCGTGCTAACAGCATACTAGTAACTAAAGAAGCCTTAAAGTTTGTGATATAGGGAAGATGATACTGCAAACTAGTTAAGGTCTTTGAATGTTACTTACTGCACTGCAAAAAATGCATTTTCTTGTTTTTCTTGTTTCTTCTTCCAGAAAGAAAAAAATCCTTCAGGGAAGAAAACTTTCTTTGTGTAAGAAAAAGATTTTGTCCACGAATTAAGAAGTTTTTTCTTAGAATTTTTTTCTTATAGAGTTTTTCTTGTAGTGAGAATATCTTCCTTATCGGTTTCTTATATTCATGTAGCTGGATTATAGAAACATCTAGAATGATATTCTTGCATTAAGATTCATATTCTCGTTCCAAGAACGTAATTCTTTAAGAAAGTAAGAATTAGGATCTTAAATACATGTGTTCCATATAAAAGTACTTCTTACCTTAAAGGAAGCTTTTCTTGATTTAAGTTCTTATAGTAAGAATACCTTTCTCTACAGCATTAAGATTCTTGTGCCCAGAAAAGGCTTCTTGCTTTTAAGATAGAAGTTCTTGATATATTAAGAATATCTTTCTCACCAGAGGCCCAGGATTCTTGATCCCAGAAAGTTCTTCTTGATTTTGATATTGACATTTTCAGATGATAACTAAGAATATTTTTCTCACCCGAAGATGAAGACTCTTATTTTTAACAGAATTTTTTTCTTACTTTGAAGATTGACATTCCAATAATAAGAATATCGTTCTTATCTCAAGACTAAAAATCTTGCCTATACCAGAAAATTTTCTTGCCTTTAAGATTAACATTCTCAGAATATCTTTCTTATCTTGAGACCAAAATTCTTATTTCTATCAGGAAGTATTTCTTGCTTTTAAGATTACCATTCTTATACTAAGAATCTTTCTTAACTCCAAAAAAACGAAATTCCTTCATCTGTTAGAAACTTTTTATTGCTTTCAAGATTAACATTCTTACATGGAAATTAAGAATAGTTTACTCAACCCAAGACGGAACTTCTTATTTCTACTAGAAAGAGTTTCTTGCATTCAAGATTAACATTCTTAAACTAAGAATATTTTTCTTACCCAAAGATGAAAATTCTTTGGGTCTTTGGATGAAATTACTAGAAAGAGTTTCTTGCTTTTAAGATTAACATTCTCATACCAAGAATATCTTTCTCACCTCAAGACCACAATTCTTGTTTCTACTAGAAAGTTTTTCTTGCGTTTAAGATTAACATACATTCTTGTACTAAGAACACCATTCTTACCACAAGACAAAAATTCTTATTTCTAGAAATGTTTTCTTGCTGTTAAGAATATATTTCTTACCAGAAGACCAAGTTTCTTGATCCTTAGAAAGTTTTTCTTGCTTTTTAAAGATTAAAATTCTATACAAAGAATATGTTTCTTACCAAGGTCCTTAATATCAAGACCAAAATTCCCATTACTAAAACGTTTTTTCTAGCTTTTAAGATTAACATTCTTATACTAAGAACACCATTCTTGCCACAAGACCAAATTTCTTATTTCTAGAAATGTTTTCTGTTAAGAAAAACATTCTTATGCTGAGAACATATTTCTTACCAGGAGACCAAGTTTAGTTTCTTGATCCAAGAAAGTTTTTCTTGCTTTAAAGATTAACATCCATCATCATCATCATCATCATCCATGCACTTACAATAATAAACATAAGATTATCTTTAACAAGATCTGATTACAAAACTTCTTGGACTTTTAATCATCTTGGTAGACACGCTATGTCAGTCTGTTCAGACCCAGCTTGGAAGTGGATAGCATTTCTCCCTACACGACGAAAACCTCAGCATTGTCAAGGTCACAATCCTCCTGCATCTGGAAAAAAAAGTTATTATTACTGTCACAAGTAAACACACATTGTACCTGAGGCAGTGATATAAAATAAATGCTAAATAAAAATATCATTCTGTTACTTATGAAAATATATTTTTACCTCCAGATAAAAATAAAAACTGTTTTACTGCTGTAACAGTATTTCAGAATTAACCCTGAAGCGAGGGAATGTAATCTCCCAATGACCTTTAGGTCATGGGCAAATAGCTGGTAACTTTTAACATATAAGCTCCTAAGTTACAGAGAAAAATATTGTGTTTTGAACTGAACCAAATTTAAAGAGGCTAAATTGTTATTTCAAAATCCTAGTTAATGATTTTCATGCTTGTTTTTTGTCCCTAAACCGATCATGAACCCTTAATTTTACCTCTTTTTAACCTAGGGGGGAGGGGGGTGCGGAAGCACTTACCTTGTATATATTAAAAAAATCCAGCATTTCTGTTCCAAACTTGGTTCTTTCTGCAGCCTGACAGCAATCTCCATTGCCTCTCTTGTACAAGATCCCCTGTACCCTGTTTTTGACTTTGAAACTGCTCCGAATCATTTGATAGAAACAGAAGTTAACAGCACCAGCATCTTCCACGAACTGAACTCTGTCTCCTGCATGAGCAACTGTCATCTGGGATATGAATCCACCAATCAGGGGCTTACAACAAAGATCACATGACAAATGCTGCCATTGGTCAAACTTTATATTGAGTTCAAACCAGAAAGTATTTCTTGTATTTTCTTGAACATAAACAAGAAAAACAAGAATTGCCTTTCTAAATTTCTTTACAATGAAAGAAGACTGGTATTCTAATCATGACTTGAACATTTGTGGTATATCTCAAGAAAGGCAAGAAACAACTTCTTGAATTTTCTTAACATTGCCAAGAAAACTGAGAAGTACCTTTCTCAGAGTTTCTACATCAGAAAAACAAGAACATTTAAGAATGTCATTCTAGTGTTACGTGTTTAGCATAATCTTGATTTTTCTTATTTTCCTTACCTGAAGAAAATACAAGAAAAGAAAGAAACAGCTTCTTGTATTTTCTTAAACATTACCAAGAAAACTCAGAAATGCCTCTCTTAAGTTTCTAGATAAGAAAAACAAGAATATATAAGAATGTTATTCTAACCATTACTTGTTTTTTGATATCTTGATTTTCTTGCTTTTTCTTATCAGAAGAAATACAAGAAAGGGCAGAAATAAATTCTAGTATTTCTTAGAACAATCAAGAAAAACAATCTTGCTAGACAAGAAGATCAAGAAATTTAAACTTGAAATTCTAGAAATTCTTGAAGGCAATTACCGTTTTTAGAAATAATTTCTTCACTGAAGAAAAATGAGAAAAAAGTTCTTCGTGGGAGAATTCACTTGAAGAAATTTTTTCTTACTCATCCGTCTTCAGTCTTAAAATTTCTTTGTGTGAGAAAATTTGTCCACGAATTAAGAAAATATTTATTATTAAGAAAAACAAGAAAAAACATTTTTTGTAGTGTGAAAGATGGACATCTTCAGTTTTGTAGATCTGTCAATGTATTGTATTTTAAAAGCTATACCATCATAGTCTATAGTTATGAAGAACAGCTGATCTATCTTTGTGAATTCCAAGAAAAAAAGTGCAGAATTAAGAATGCAACACAAACTGAATTAAGAATGCAATACAGTACTACAAAAAGCACCATGACTCTTTGCACCTGACCACCCACCCGTATCCGTAATGACTCCTCCCTCCCCTCTCCCGTGCCTCCCCCGTAGCGTGTGTGCCTGATCCCCAGCCCAGAGGAGGATGAGGTAATGCGGGAAGCGACCGTGACGGCGGCACAACTCCGTCTGAACGGGGCCGCCTGGCACACCGTGGTCGACTCGGATGAGGAGGGAGACCCTCGCAGTGAGGAGGAACGACAGAATCCTGACTCCTGACTAGCCTGTCTGGTGCAAACGTCACCTGCGGTCTGGGCTTATGGAGACTGGCACTAGAAATAGCAAACACAAGCTTATGTCTGCTCAGACCCTAAGATGTTACCACGTTTATGGTGAATGGCACAAGAAATAGCAAACATGACAACTCTCAAAATTCTGTCTACCCAAACCCTAAGACTACTAATCTCCAAGCAGATCCTAGGGTGGCAAAAGGCAGTATCAAATTGGCCAGGCAGTATCCATTGGCCAGAGAGAGCCCTTGGGTGGTATATCAAATGAACCCTCGCTGACCAATGGATACAGCCTGGCAAATTTGATACCATCTTTTGCCCCCTAGGATCTGCTTGGAGACTATAAGACTGCCATGTTCACAAAATATAGCAAACACGACTCTCACAATTCTGTCTGCTCAGACCCTAAGAAGTTACTCCAGCAAAAACTAGCAAAGTTTAACAACTCATATTTTCAGTCTAAAACAGGAAAACTAATGGAAAGTAGAACTATGGTTGATTTACCAACCAAACTTTCATGCAAGGGTCACCAAACAGCAACAGATAGAGAAACAACAATGTTGGATCCTTGTCTAAAACTTGTTCTGTCATTTTCCCCTTCTTGTGTTGTCAGACTGTATGTTACTCCATGTATCATTATCAATCTAACAGAGAAAACTTATATCAAACTATGATACATACATGTACTGTGTTAAGGCATGCCTTCTTTTGACATAAACTCTTCACTAATCTAAACTAGTAGTCTATAATAGGCAAACAATATCAACTTAGTAAGAACGAAATGAACATTTGCATGAAACAGTGTATAATACTGTATAAGCATGAGACTGTATTTATTTCATAGCATCTTGTACCAAACATGCTTCTATACCAGATATCTTATAGTATCTATAGGGTTGCTGATGATTCAGATAGTGTTAAAATAACACATCCTCTGTGCAAAAGAGCTCCAAGATGAAAAAATTAGAATTTATGGGCATACATAAGAGTTAACATACCCTTCATGAAATAGGTTGTAATGATTTTTTATATTAAAGAATTTTTAAGTTTATATTATTCAAGTAATACTTCTTCTGTTGTATTATTCTCAGTTTAGGTTTGCCTGTTATTATTTTTCTGCTCCATAATTACATTAAAATGTATTTCATTTCTTGAAAACAAAAGGTAGACACTTATAGCTGTCACATAATGCCACCTTACAAGGCATAGATTTATAAAAACGTGTAACGTTAGATCTTTATTTCCTTGTTATAAACATACCTTGTATAAACTAATTTTGTATAGCTGCAATATCTTTTCTTTCATTCTTTTGGCAACAAATATTGTATCACCAATATGCATAGTTTTATTTGTTATTATGGGTTCACCACACCACGAAGTGGTGTGGTGAAACCATATTGCTTTTTCTGATGTTTCTTCTCCTTCTTCTCCTCCTCCTCCTCCTCCTGCCATATCTTTAAATGGATTCAGCTTCTTCATTTTAGGGCCTAAGGTCCTGAAATTTGGTATGGAGGTACAGTGGGCAAATACCCCTAGGCGTTTTTTAAATTATTGTGATACAGGCTTTTAGAATGGTTTTATTTGAGTTTTTTGGCTGTGTAATAGCTAATGTATTACTGTGTAAGTGTGCAGTGTTTACCACATTTGGACATGAGTCATCACAATGGCATGCAAGGCATCAACCAATAGGCATGCAGCTTTCCTCTATTCTCCTTGCTGATTGGCTGTTGGGATTTAACTGGATTAACTTCATTTACACCTGCACAGAGCCATGCCATACTGACAGTATGTCTGTATTCAAGTGTTTTGGTAGGTATTTTAAGCTTTCCTGCTCCAGCATTGGAATGCGGGCTATGAACGCTTCTTTTTATCTTGAAAATCAACAGTTTGCATTATGCAATCCTAACCAATAATGTAGGGAATAGCTATCCAACTGTTGTAGTCTTAGTTGTATGTTACTTCATACTATAGTTATATCAATGTAAAGCATTGTTTTCCCTTGTGTTTCTCATTCTTTCCCTGCCATGTGGTAAAATGTGGTGAACCCATCGCTATATTTGCTCCAAAGCAAATATTGGCCTTTCTAGTTTGTATTCCTTTTTTCTGTATAGAACGCTTGTCAAAGAAAAAAATCTCTGACATAGCTAGCAGAGTGTGTGATTTAGTTGTGAAATATTCCTTATTTTATTATGATTATGTTCTTACTGTCAGCCTATGGAAGAATAAAGCATTACTCTATGTAGACAAAGGAGGGTATGAGAAGTGGATCTTTCATTGTGTATTTGTGGATTGGGCTGTACCAATTTCATTTGTTGTTTCTCATACATTTATTGACGAACTTGGTTGGCAAGGAAAGTAGAAAGACTAGCTGCCCTAAAACTTATATTATTTGGAGGGGGGCATTCAAAGGGCAATTTTAAAGCGGAGGCTTCTAGTTGTTCTGTATCAAATAGTTGGCGAGCAGGTAAACATGTTTTAAGGGCATTTGTTACCCCTTTTCATTTTTTTCTCTGTTCACTAACTTTGCAATATCAAACTTGAATTCAGCCAATCGGGTTCGTTCAGCTCTATGACGTAGATAACCAAGAACCGGACTGTCGCGAAGAATGAAGTCTCAGTTCTCACCAGGAAGTGGGCAGAACTGCTGCCCAGGCTGTCGTCTGATCTCCATGGCAACGGCCGTCATGGCTGACATTTCGGCGGGAACGTGACGTCATCCCTGAGGTAACAGTACTGTCCCCAGAGATGGATAGCCTCCATAGCATGCCAAAAACTTTTTTTTCGGGGTCTGCAGGGTCTTTGGGAGCTTTTATGTGCTATTTTCTGATTGCACATAGACAACATAGCCGGCCTGGTTGAATTACCCCCGTTTTTTAGAACTGGGCTAATCAGAAAACAGCCAAAGACCAACAAACCCCCAGTTCTATGAGGTGGACAAGTGCGTTGGACGACAAGTTGTGAATTCCGTGGGCTCCAGTCCATAAGGTAAGAATACCGTGATGAGAAACTCTTGTACTGTTAGTCAGATGTCTTTCATATGAAAAGTAAAACAGCATTGGGCTGCAAACTTTGTTTATAGCAATAGACATTAGTAGTAGTAACTTTGGGGGGGGGGGGGTTGAATAGGGAGGCCAAAATGTTTGAATGCACATAACACAAAAATTAAGAATGGCTGGTCATTTTAAAAACTTCATACACTTACAAAGACAAGTCAGTGAAAATTTCATACAGTCATATAATGTGGGGAAGTTGAATTTTAATGCCTGTGAAAATGGGGCAAATATTGCCCTTACAAAACAAAGTCTTCGCGATCGTAGTTAATTTAGAGCAGGAATATATGATGCCAAAATTTCGTAATATGTACCAAAGGTAGACGTAACGTACCTGTGGGCACACCTAGCCTTTGATGTGCCGCCCGTATGACACGGTAAGGACACTTGGGCGTCTCCAGGTGTGCAGAAGTCTCCACGTCACAGGTGAACCAACAGGTAACGTCTTGATATTCCACCTCATCTTATCGCTAATTCCTTCTTCTTAAAGTCTTACCCGGTTGACCTAACCCATAGATCTGGTTTACGACAGATATTTATAAAATATTCCACATATTCGCGACTTCTACGCCGTTTAAACGGGTCGTTAAGTCTATTCTATGTGAGGAATGAGACAAAACATGTTGTTTTAATATTTACAGATTTAGCGACTTTTGTTTGAGTCAAAACAGTTTAGAACAGGCCACACACATAGTAGATAGTAGCGATGAGTGTAGGACAATATGGCACAGTCCATTTATTCATTCCCTCATTCAAATTCATTCAAATTAAGTAAGGCAAATGACATTATACAGAGGTCCTTGGTAAGGCATTTACGCAAGGTACGCCTTTTACGAAGAAAGTTCTGCCTCGAGTTATGCAAACTCTATCATTACCTATAATAGAGCTCAAAGTGTCTTACGCCAATTTACTGATATAGTTAGACTAGTATAAGGTGTAAGCTTGCCACCTTGAATTCGGACGCCTTTTCTCTGAATCAGCAACTTTATTTTTGAATCATCAGCCACTAACAAAGCACGAAGCCATAGAAAGGACTCTCTTCTTTCGACAACTAAGCCGACAAAAACCCTGTGCCTTCCTCTGTTATTAACTGCTAGTAACTACAGTAATTGTTAAGTACGTGCCGCGCTTTTGTTGACTCAGAAGTTCCGACTTTCACGTGAGTCAGAAAATTGTAGGTCTGACGTCACGGGTCAGAGGTGGGGTGAGTGACCTTGAGTTCAAACCGTGAACTCCAAGCAGATCCTAGGGTGGCAAAAGACAGTATCAAATTGGCCAAGCAGTATCCATTGTGGGTATTGGACCCTCTCAGGCGAATGGATACTGCCTGGCCAATTTGATACTGTCTTTTGCCACCCTAGGATCTGCTTGGAGATTACACAGATCAGTCAGTTATTCTAGCCTGGTTACCAGGCCTTTGAGGGGGCAAAAGAGCCTAGCTGGTGTCCAGTCATTCGTGGTTGGGGTTGGTTTTCCTCGTGGCTTTAGGAGCTCTTTCCCCGCCCGCCTCAGCTAGGTTCCCCGGTAGGTTATGCACGATGGGAGTTAATGAATTTATGACTTTATTGTACAATTTTGCCCCACTGGTCTATAAAGCACAGGTCACAATATTACAATCATATAACGTGTTACATATACATATACAAGTAACTTTACATACATATAACTGTTACCAGTGTGTACAAACGTCTAATGTATTCTACTCTTTTCAACTTCCTCCCACTCACAATACACACATACCTTCCGATTTTTGTTTAAACATAACAGTGACAAAAGAATGCAGTTGTGACAAAGACGGTCCTTCGGGACGTGTCTACAGAATGCCACACGGCAAATGCTACATGTAGTAACAGAACAGAAATGTTACAATAGGCCGTTCCAGATCGAACACGTCCAACCCCCGAATGTTCCATTTCGAACACCTCCGTCAATATCAAAGTGCCGACAGACGCCGACTCAGTTTTGCTACTTTTACATTAAATTTCCCGCGCTGATTGTGGCGAACTCGAAATAGAACAGGGGGTTCGACGTGTTCTATTACGGGTCTGTCCCGGCAACACAGTAAATACCATGCGGGCGCTTTGCCGGGGAGAGTCTACTATTAAAACGCGAGTTTTCTAAACATCGGCTGTGTCCTTGAA